CTTTCATTTTCAGTTTTGCTGGTAGATTACACTTAAATATTTCTTTTAAGGTCCAGAACTTTCATGTCATGTTTATTCTCCTGTCAATCTCATCTTTGTTTCTATTATATATATATTTCTGATTTACCTAGTTATATGTAACTCTCTACGTATTCTAAGCTCTGTAAATTGTTAACGTGTATAGGCGTTTGCCTGTGGTTAGTCATCACTTTAGTTTTTATTGTGTTTAGTAGGAGTCCTATTCTGTTACTTATTTTGCATAGTTCTGATATCATTTCTTCTAGTTGTTTCGATGATCTCGAGAAGAGTATTATATCATCGGCGAATCTAAGGTTACTCAAATGTTTTCCATTTATGCTAATACCTTTATGTTGCCAATGTAAGTCTTTCATTATATACTGTAAGACAGATATAAATATAGTGGGGGATAGCGGGTCCCTCTGTTTCACGCCTCTACGTATTTCAATTTTTGGTCAAAGCCTATCGAGCTTTACACGCCTTACGCTTTTGCTGTAGATGTCTTTCAGGATTTTATAAAGGTTTCTGTAATATTTTGGTTTTCTTGCGCTCGCCATAAGCTTTTATGTCAGATAGAGTCGAAGGCTTTTGCGTAGTCGATAAAGGCTAGATATAGGGGCTGTTGATATTCCTGGTGTTTTTCAATTACTTGTTGCAAAGTATGTATATGATTGATTATGCAAAAGCCCTTTCTAAAGCCTGCCTGTTCTATGGGTTGATATGACTCTATCTCAATCTCTATTCTCTTATTTAAGCAGGCTGCAAATAATTTTTATACAGCAGGAAGTAAGCTGATAGGCCGGTAGTTGTTCATATCCGATGGGTTGCCTTTCTTGTAAAGAAGTATGATTTGAATTATGATTTCTCGACTCTGCCCAATTGAAAGCTACTTTTTGTTCCAGCAAGATTTTGTTAAAAATATTTGTAAGGGGACTAGCCAGTAAGAATTTTCTTAGTTTGAGAGCTTCGTTGGGTATATTATCATGTCCGGGACTTTTCCCTTTTTTGAGCATGTCTATTTGCCTTATTATTTCCTTCTCTTCAAACGGTTTCACTGGTCGAGTTGGTAGTAGAGTTCTTGAGGTGTGAACTTGAGTGTAATAATAATAATAATGATTTATTTGCAAGAAATATGGTAGTTACAGGATTAATAATTTGGTATGGTACAATCATATTTCGCCAGTGGCATGCAAATATATAATTTTATAATTGTCAGTCTAGTGTTATACAAATGTTTTATGGATATCTATGATTAATTACAATTTAGTGATGAACCTAGGAATAAAATGTCACAAGATAAATAACACACATATACATAGACGTTAACAATAAACGAGAAATAATACAAAATTCGATCCAGTCTTAATACCAAAATAAAATAAAATAAAAAAATAAAAAATGTCAAGTTAAGGTGTACATGTCAACAGTTATCAAGGCAAGTCAAGATTATATTAAAATATCACTTTGGTCTATAACAATAAAATTCATCTAGGGAATAAAAACAATTCTGAATAAGCCATTGTTTCAATGTTTTTTGAAAGAAGTTAAATGGCAATTTTCGAATATCGCTGGGGGATTTTATTATATACTCTTATACACATATTAGGACAGCTCTTCTGATAAAAGACAGTTTTACACTTTCGTAAATTTAATCTTGTAACATCTCTATGAGGAAATGTTTTATCTGTATAATTATCAATACATCTTTGAAATAAATGTGGATATTTTTTTACAAATGTTCCAATTTCATACACGTACATGCAACACAATGTCATAAGTTTTAACTGTTTAAAAAGTGGTTTACAAGAATCAAAAGGTCCACATCTACAAATCGCCCGTACACATTTCTTTTGGATGAGGAATGCTCTATTAAAAACCATTGAATTGCCCCAGATCAATAAACCATACCGTAGCACGGACGCTACATATCCATGATAAGCTGTTATAGTAGCTTCTTTACTTGTTATATTGGTTAGTCTTTTAAGTGCATAAACGAATTTATCTAATTTATCACACATTAAGCTTATATGGCTTTTCCAACTACAGTGCTGGTCTAAAATAAGGCCGAGGAATTTTATTTCAGCAACCTTTTCAATTTCTTGATTATGAATCACTACTTTTATTTTAGGGATATTTGCCCGGTTAGTGCGGAATGTAATATATTTAGTTTTGAGTAGATTGGGACATAAATTATTACTTTCGAGCCAATTTATTGTCGATGTGACAGTATTGTTAACTTTAAGTTCATAATCAGATGGCTTTTCTTTACCTGTTATTATAACTGATATATCGTCGGCATATAGAGTACAATGTTGATCGATTGCCAATGGAAGATCATTAATATATAAAATAAAAAGTAAAGGACCAAGAATTGTACCTTGTGGCACACCTTTTGTAGTGGGTTGTAATTTAAAGCTATATGTGACATGTTCATTAAATTCATTAATTCTAGTTATTTGAACGCATTGTATTCTGTCACTTAAATAAGATTGTATCCATTGGAATGCAAGTCCTCTAATGCCATATTTTTCAATTTTATTTAGTAACAGTTCGTGGTCTACAAAATCGAATGCTTTACTCATATCGAAAAAGACACCAGTAACTTTCATACCTTTATCAATGTTTTCTGTTATGTGCTGAGTTAGTGTGTAATTAGCTAGTGTTGTTGATTTTTCTTTTTGAAAACCATTTTGTTCTTCTCGTAAAATCTTATGTTTATTTAGAAAACTATTCAGTCTAGTATGCATTGCTTTTTCAAATACTTTGGCTAATATTGGTATAAGAGCAATAGGTCTATAATTATTAATTTCTTTTTTGCTGCCCGCTTTATGAATTGGCTTAATCACAGAAATTTTAAGATTGTTTGGAAAGATTCCATATTCAAATATAGCTTGTTTCGATTTCTTTGCTACAGTTTTGGTAGCTATATAGATTTTTGTAGAAATCCGATGTAGCGGCGCTGTCGTCGCGCCACAAGCGAAATACACCGAAGCTTAAATCCCGCTATCAACATTCCGAATCATAAACAGTATATATAGAACTTCTCCGAACTATCACTGGGAGCGTCGGCCGCTCCGCGGGCAGAACACCTTGTACGGCTGGAGATCTCCCCTTTTCCTTCCACGGCCACAGTGGTGACCCCGACGTGATCTGAACACGCAACCAAACAACCTTGAGAAACTTCAAGCTTCATCATCGTCTAGAATACCCCACCCATTCGCTTCCCGAGCAGATATAAACTGCAGTCTTTCATATCCTGTAAGCCATCTAGCTTCACAAGGTTCATCGCAGCACTGGAATAATAATGCTTCCTGTTCCTTCAAGCTACTCTCTGCGCTATACAGTGTTCGGCACGGCTCTGAGCCTTACTGCTCGCCTCTGCTTCACGGCACTCTCGCAGATTACTTTCCTTCTTCTCGACTCACTGCAGACTACAAGGCAATCTCCTGGCACTTGCACATTCGTCGGCAACGAGGCTGCACTATCGACCTCCGGTCTGAGCAGGGGGGTGATGTAGCGGCGCTGTCGTCGCGCCACAAGCGAAATACACCGAAGCTTAAATCACGCTATCAACATTCCGAATCATAGACAGTATATATAGAACTTCTCCGAACTATCACTCGGAGTGTTGGTCGCACCCCGGGCAGAACACCTTGTCCGGCGGGAGATCTCCCCTTTTCCTTCCACGGCCACATCCGAGGTAGCTTTAACTATATCAATTCTTGTTAACGTATGTTTGTTTGGAATTGATGATTGTAGCTTTGGAATCCATGTTTTGCTAGTATTAAGTTGTTTGAACACTCTTTTTTGGCTTCCAGACTTTAATAAATTTGTTTCTATAATTTTCATTCTACAACTAATGTAGTCTTTTTTTAAGCTCTTGTTTGTACTTTTATATAGGTTAGAGAGTTCCTGCCTCTCTTTTCTATTTTTAGGTTTTTTACGTTGTAGCTCTATTCTTCTTTTTATCAAAGTCTTTGTTTCTGCTGATATTATATCTTTTTTATTTTTTGAGCTTGTGTTATTTATACTTTGTAATATCGCTGTTTCTATTTTACTGTAATAGGACTCTACATCTTCAGTTTCACATCGAGATATTTTTTGTGTTTCCTTATCTAATGAATATAAGAATGCTTTTGTATTTTTTTTTGCCTTGTATTGGGGTTGAAAACTGCGAAACATAGCTCTACTTTTCTTCTGTTTCCCAAGGTTATATGTACTACGTACTAATTTGTGGTCACTTGTGAATAGGTCGTTGTTTAATGTTTCTATGTTTAAGAATTTTTTAGGGTTATTACTAAGAATGTAGTCGATTTGATTTTTAATCGTTACATTGGGACTTGTCCAAGTCCATAAGTTTTTTGTTTTTCTTAAATAATGTATTTATTACAGTAAGCTTCTTTTCTAATGCATATTGTATTATCAGATCGCCTCTGTCATTTCTGATAAGAGTATGGTCCCATTACTGTATTTCTCCTTGTCTTGCCAATTAGCGTTAAATCTCCCATTACAACCAGTATCTCGTTAGCGAGTGAGTGAGCAGTTTGAAGTTGATCGTAGAAGGATGTCACTTTCGTCACTTGCGTCGTGGGTGGGTGCATATACTTGTATTAATGATATTTTTGTTGTTTCGAATTGGAGATTCAGCATGCATACTCTTACCGATAATCCTATATAGTTCTGAATATTTGATTTATATTTCTTTTTGATCAAGAAGCCAACACCGTGCAGACCTTTATTTATTCCTGTATAGCAGAAAATGTGCTCTTCGAGTTCTATGATATGGCTACCAGTTCTTCTTATTTCTGCCAATCCAATAATGTCATATTTTATGTTATTAAGGGAGTTTTTAAGTAACATCATTCGTTGCATCATACATTATACGTACATATATATAGCAGTTGTTGTATTGGAGGGTTATAGTCTTAATCTCCTGCGGTGACAAGTCGTGATAGGAGATTGAGAGGGGCCTTTTGTAATTGCTAATTTATGTGCTCATTATTGGGTGTAGAGTCATGCGTAGCCCGTTCATAATTTAGTATAAATTTTGGTTTATGTCGAATGTATTCCTTCATTGTTGTTGTTTTGCTCTTCTTAACTGACTGCTTTTTATTTTGTAAAATGTTAGAAGGATTTTTAGTTTCAGGAGATTCAGATAGTGATCTTTTGTTGGTAGGGTTTTGTGTAGAGGTTTTATTTCTTCTAGGTAATACTATGAGCTTATCATATTTTAAAAAAGCTGTGTTACCTGCTTCTCTTTCCACCTTCAACTGGGGCTGTAATTCCTTACGTTTTTTCAGCACTTCTTTCGGAAAGTCCTGTTTAACATAGTAGGGGGTATCTTTTAAGCATTTTTGATTTTGTTGAATTTTCAATTTGAATCCCATTGTACTGAACATAAAAACAACAGGCCTGATTATTTCACCCTTTTTTACAATTCTTTAAACGGATTCTAACCCTTTTTAAAAATTAAAACCAAAGCATTTAATTATTATGTGTAATATTGCATTTTCCAAACCGTTGTATGATTTTTCCCCTTCTTTCACACCAAAGAAAATTAAGATTTTGCGTCTCATAAATCTTTCGATATTGTTGATTTGTAAAGAATGTTCCTTTATTTTATTTTCTAGATATTCTTTCTTCATTTCTATGTTTTTAAACTTTTTATTTATATTATTGTTAATTTTATTCTTAATATCTTCTTTCATGTCGTGCATTTCTTTTGTTGTTGAAACAATTTCCGAAGGTTTTCTAACATATTTTTTATTTCTTCCATGTTTACAGTAAGGTGGTAAAAATTAAATTTTGGTGTAACGCAATCTTATAGTAAGGTTTTTTACTTAAATTGTAAACAGGGTACTCTATTAGCGGAGTGATGAACTAGCAAAATATTTCTGGCTCGTTAGATTTGCTTATCTAAACAATCGTGATCGATGTGTACGTAGTTTTTAAATAGTTTGATAGATGGCGTTAGTTGTTCCAAAGGCAATTTCCGTTAGTCATGTTTTGATTTCTGCTCACTAATTTAGGTTATGTTTTATTTTGTGCAATAAATAAATAACCACTGTTCAATCTATCACTCTTTCACTCGTAGTTCATCTAATTGATAGTTATTTTAACTCATTTTATTACATTCAGGTCTTTTATTTGCTTTCTTCACTTAACATATACAAAAGTAGCCATTGTGGTGTTCCAGTTGAAAAGATAATGTTTTTTGTTATTCACTTGGTTTTCACTTTGTTCTATATTTTGTCCTTATAGATTTATGTCCAATCACACAAATTTATTCACTTTTGCTTTTTAAAATACTTTAAATTTATTTTTTTATTTACTTTAAACACAGACTTGATGTTTATCGTGGCAGAGCAGCGCCCTCTCCTTTTTTTAAATGCTAAAAATAATATCATACTTTTATGCTGATAAGTAGCGTAATTGGCATTTGAATCGGATACAGCTTGTAAGTCTCCTGTTGTTTAAGAACTTGAATCCAATTGGAGAACTTACTAAAATCACTTTGCTTGATAAGCGGATTGGCAAGTGTAGTGTCCCTAATTTGTGATGCTGCTTCTCGATGACACTATAGATATTTTGAATTGAGAATGCGTCAGATTTTGGTTGCATAACGCATAACATAAAAAAATGCTTTCATTTTATTAAAAATTTTGAGAACCATTCTATCACTTCTCCAACACTTTTTTCTAGAATTAGGGTAGCAAACGAGAAAACAGTCCACCTGATGGTAAGTGGATGCTGTGGCCCATAGACATCTACATTTATCTTCGAATAAGAATCAAAACGCAAACGCGTTGTCAACCGTGAGGACCAAGATGGAATGCCTTGATTTCAGTAAAAAGGGTCTCCGGTCCTCTACTACACTCACCATACGAGACACAGCAGTATTAAGCTGCTTTTTATGCTGGTATTCTGTAAGAGCGTGGTCCCTCCCGACAGAGCCGACCCATTCGTGCTACAAGCATAATATAGCTGAAGCGTGGCTCTACCACTATGATAATCAATATAATCACTTAAGTTGGAGCAACAATACACATTTACAAAATTTTATTAAATTCGTTTGAGCTTTTTCGGCGAATTGTGTGAGCGAACGAATAGGGTGACACGGATTTTTATATATTAAGATGAACAATAAGAATTCAACTGCTATCACGGTCAGAACAGTAAGTATACATATTAACGCTGATTTATCATACTCAATATGTTTAGCGGTCAAAATTGCGAGGAAACCGACATTTCGAACAAGTAAAAAATATTTTCCAGTTTTTGTAACTTCGCAGAAATTGGAGAAGGATAGTTAAGGAAAATTTGTACAGATTTCACTTTTTTGTAATTATTAATAGTGTATAGCTTAGCATCACATAAGAAAGCATTGTTATTAATTTCAGCTTAAATTGTTTTTTTATTTGTTTTTCCAGTTTCTTTCTGACGACGTTTACAGCTCAATTGTATAGTGTACCCTCGATTAGATTTAGTAGTTATTTTGTAAACCATTATATTTCTTATGTTTGCGTTCATCGACCTGGAAATCCTAGTTAAACTTTTTTCTTTTAAGTTTCTCATTAATTGAAATAATGTATTTCTTTGGAGAAAATGAAGTTTCTTTAACTATTTTGTAACTGTTTATTTAACTATCTATTGAAGACCAAAACGGGTTATAATTATTTAATAACTGTATACACCATTGCTATCGTCGATAATGGTCAGATTAAAAATTATTTACTCTTAAATATAATTGAATTGTGTAGTTTAGATGGCGTCAAATTAATTGCTGAAGTAACTAAAACCATCACCTAAATGTAATTCTGTCTGAAAGACCTTAAAACCCCTTGAAGGCGATGTACCCGCAACGTATTTCCTACGTGTATATTATGTCCTAGCCGGGGGCGGAAAACGACGACGAGATACGTCTGCCTGTTCGTCTACGATCGTCATTTTGCCTGCCCTAAATTATGCCAAATCCTTTATAAAATGGGAAAGATACATGCCAATCAATAAATTGTGATGATGGGAAGGATAAATAATCGTCTAGATAGAAAATATAATTTTCGTGATTTTTTACGTCTACACCTGGTAATATCCCGTGAAGTTAAAGTTAAGTTAAAGCTACAGCCTATATACGTCCCACTGCTGGGCAAAGGCCTCCTCTCATTTTTCTATCTTTATCTTTTATAGAGGGTTTTAGGGCAAGGAATGTTTCAGCCGTGCTGACCCAATGCATGTTGGCGAACTTTACATATCTTCAAAATATTTTTTTTTATTACTCTGACATGCAGGTTTCCTCACGACGTTTACTTTCACCACCGAGCAAGTGTGAATCAGAACTTAAAATTGTAATTAAGTCGACCGTACGATCGAACCCGGATTGCTCGCGTACTGTGAAATTCACAGCGAGCGCCAACCATCTGAGCTACCACGGCTCCCGTGTAGTAGTTGTAAGAATATCCAATACTCCATATATGGATACCGGAAGTGAAAAAAACAGTAAATTGGAAGGAGCATATTCCTGATAACTACTAAAAATAATGGCAGTACTGGCCTAGCAAGTGCAGCTAAATTTTCCCATCAGGCAATATTTATGGGAGACCTATTTTCAGCAGTGGACTAAAGGCTGTAAAAGAAATGGATAACTAGGAGTATTAGTCGTTTCACAAGCATGTTACATACTCTCACTTCTTACACATACATAAGCGATTAACGTCAGCCACTATGTCCATTTCGCATAGTAACGACTGTTTCAATAAAGTTTCTAAGGCTAACAGGCGGACCATTAGAGACAAACATCTCTTCAATTCTTTTAAGGGAAAATCTGAAGTTTCAACTTTTTTCATACTGAAATAGGATTTAATTAAGTTTATCATTAAATGAGTTGTAAAACGATACGTTTACTTGAGTGGATTTTTCTAAGAAATTATGTGACAAACGAGCACCTGATTGTAAGTGGATGCTGTGGATCATAGGCACCAACATTTACATCGATTCAGAATAAAAAAATAGATTCGTTTTCATCCTTGAAGACTAAGATGCTCTTTTACGCTGATATTCTATTGTTTTTGTTTGTTACTGAATAATCTCATGAAATATACCCACCTAATTTTGTTGTATTCCTTTTCTTCGGTATTAAGTTATATCTAAAGAAAAAGGAACACGAATATCCATGTAATTAAATAGGCTAAGCCAGTTATGCAGTGCTTTTTACTTAATTTCTCCTAAATGGCTGGACTGATATTGATGATTTTTTTTTCTGTACGTTTTTTTTAATAGGATAGGGTGACAAACGAGCACACAGTCCATCGGATGGTAAGTGGTTGCTGTGGCCCATAGACATCTATATCTATCCTCGATTACGAATCAAAATGCAGATGCGTTGTCACCCGTGAGGACTAAGACGGAATGCCTCGTTTACAGTAAAAAGGGTCTCCGGTTCTCTACACTCACCATACGAAACACAGCAGCATTAAGCTACTATTTGACGCTGGTATTCTGTGAGACGTGTTAATGGTTTAGATTTACAATTGGACCCGAATCGATAATATCATATAATCCATTAGTAAAAAAAAATAAAAACTAGTAAAAAAAGTTAAAAAGTGGTAAAAAAGCACATATACGTCCCACTGCTGGGTACAGGTCTAAATATAGAGCGGGGAAAACTGTCTAAAATATTTACGGTAAGCCCATGAACTTCCACAGATCTTGTACTATTGAAAGGTTATATTATATAAGTACCTAAACAGTGGTAGAGCCACGCGGCAGCTTTGCTGTCGCACGTATGGGCCGGCTCAAACCGGGGTGGTACCACGACCTCACAGAATACCGGCGTGAAGTGGAAGCTCTGCTTCCGCGTTTCGTCTGGTGAGTGCAGGTGGCTGGAGGCCCAAATCCCCCCCCCCATCAACATGGTAGCGGAATTAAATGATAGACTACCCCAGGAGGGTACCAGCACCCCTGGAGAATCCCTCGCTGAGCATCCACGACCATGTTTCTCCACTTCTGAGCGTGGGTGCTCAGGCTGCCCCCGCGTATTCTGGGGGGGGCAATATTCCGCTCAAGACTAAAACTGCTCGGGGCAAACGGAGCAGCAAGACCAAGGCGACCCCTGCCACGCTGTCCGTGAATTTCTGCAATATCAGGGGACTTCACTCTAACCTAAACGCCGTCCACTACCATCTCGAGACGGCGAGGCCGGCTCTGCTCTTTCTGACCGAGACGCAGGTGTCCTCTCCGGCTGATGTCTCGTATCTCTCCTGTCCGGGGTACAAACTGGAACACTCCTTTGTGCCTCGGGCTGGAGTTTGCGTTTACGTCAGAGAGGACATCTGTTCTCGACGCCTCGGCAGACTTGAAGGTTCGGACCTGTCCATCCTTTGGCTACGCG